TGATAAAGAACATCATATGGCAGAACTGGATGGTAAAGTTGAGGATTTAGAGCACTAACTCAAGATGAAAGCGGAAGGAATTGCCAAGACGGAGGAATAAAAACAGAAGCTTCGCTAACTCGTCTCACTGGGAAGCCAGCGAATTGACGTTCTTGAGCGTCGACCTGCCGTGGAGAGCGACACTTCCAAACAACCCATTTCCACCACTTCGACTCTAGTGATGAGGTCGACAGTCGCTTGGGGACAAGCTTCGACCTATAGGAGTGCACCTCAGCCTGCACACCTACGCCATTGATCATTGTGAATAGTTCTGAGGACCCAGGGGAGGACGTGATGGAGTCGAATGACGATTGATTCACCCAAAAATTCCGTTATTATTATTTTTACTTGATTGATTATTGCACCTGGACGGTGTTGTTTGTGGGCTCGTGTCATGATTTTTAGAAGAATTTTATGACTATTTGGGATGGTATTATTATTAAGTAATGTTAGATGCATTGATGGGGTAATTTTCAAGTGTTTTCCCTATCTATGTTCATGCTATTTCCCATGAGATTTTTTTTTTTTTTTTTTTTTTTTTTTTTTTTTTTTTTTTTTTTTCATTTGTTACTTTTGCCGATATAAATTGTATTTATCAATATTAAACTAATACAAACGCATTTACTTGTGGAAGATACGTTTTATAAACACAATAATCTTAATTAATATTTAATGTTGAATAATTGAACCTATTATAAATGGTTGAATATTGTGGACGTGGAGGACCTTGCTGATGTGGAAGTGGGTTTCGATCCTTCATCACTTGCCTTCAACGCGATGATAGCGTAACCCCATAGCTTGGGAACGCAAACTCGAAATTTTCGCCTCCACCACCTACAAGAGACAATCTGACTACTTAAGCTATCACTCTAACTCATGAATTTCCAACACCAAGTGGCATCAAACCCTAGCTCACTCGAAACCCACGATATGGCATTAGAGCGGTTGCTCAACACACTAAGTTTTCTTCGTGAACCTGATGATGGAAAGGTGAAATACTGGCTCGAGTAAATTGAAAGTATCTTTGCTACAATGCGATTCTCTGAGCCACAACGTTTGTCTCTAACTAGCTTTCGTCTGGAATCTGCTGCACACGGTTGGTGGAAGACTGTGTCTGAGAAGTGGACACGAGAGAGCAAGGACTGAACTTGGGTTAACTTCGTGAATGAATTCAAAATCCAATACATCTCCACAAGCTGCGGCAGAAGCTAGAAGGTATGAGTTTTACCATCTGAAGCAAGGAGCACTAACTGTTGCCCAATACGAGTCCCAGTTTAATCGGCTTTCCAAATTTGTGCTAGGGTTGGTCAGCAATGACAAGGGTAAGTTGTATAGGTTCACTAAAGGCTTGAGTTATTCCCTGCAGCAACAGTGTCTCTTACAGTAAGCATGAACATATATGCTGAGGCCGTCTAGCCTTGGCAACCGCCCTTCGCTAGGCTCCTCATCGCCTTCAATGATGAGATGACTTTGAGCCCGTCTTCATCTTCACTCCATAAAAAGTGATATGCTCACCTTTAGCCAAATGAAGAGTCACCTCGCGCTCCATATAACGGATGTTGCACGGTACTTGGTCAACCAATCCATGCCGAGGATCACATTGAAGTCCTTCATCTCTATGATGTACGCGTCCGCCTTCACATATTTTCCACCAATGCTGATGTTAAGTCCCTGCACCAGAGTGTCGGTAACAATTGTCTTCCCTGAGGCTAAAGTGACCTCGAGGGCCTCAACTATACTGACACTCTGGATTCCAACCGCCTCCAAACACCTTGACGAAACAAAGGTGCGTGGCTCCGGCGGCACACAATGTGAAAACATATACATTTAGAACAAATAACATGCCCGACATCGTACTTTGGCTCTAGTTGGATTTAGTCTGAGTTAAAGCGAAGGCACGGGCTCTGCCTCGGCTGGTTCTGCTGTGACTAAATTACTGCTGATTATGCTCCGTGTACACATTAACAAAGTGTCTCGACTTCTGTCAGTTGTAACAGGTACGTTGGGATGCCCGACACTATTCTCCATGTGCCCTGGTGCAATTATTATATCTAGGCAGTTCGTCTAGTACGTGATGTATGGGCAGAGCGATCTGAGTAGGAGGTCGATCGTCACGTCGGCCTGCTCCACCACGTTTACCCCATCGGTGGTTTCGGTACCGATCAAACTTTCTCTTGCCAATACTAGTTGTCGGTTGTACAATTAAGGTTGGTGCATCTAGGCTCTGACAGCTCTCTATCTGCTAAGCTCGGATAACCGTCTCAGCATAAGACAAGGACCCATAGCTCACCACTAGAATTCGGATATTAGACCAAAGACCATTTCTGAAATGGTTGGCATTCTTTCGCCCCGACGTCGACAAGATGTACTGCAAATGTACTCATACGGGTGAAATCCCATTTGTACTCGTCACTGTCCGGCTTCCCTAACATAAATCCCAGAATTCCCTTTCCATACGCTCACAGTAATGATGAGCGTAGTACTTTTCAGTCACAATCTCCTTCATTCGAGCCAAGGAAAAATCATCGCGTTCGTTAACTGGCCTCACTCCAATAATCGGACCACCAGTTGCTGGGGTCGCCATTCAACTGAAATTCAATGATGAGAATTTGCTGCTCATTTGTACAAGCCAACACATTAAAGATTCGCTCTAGCTTACGGAACCATTCGTCCATTATGTACGGTACCTCCTGACCGGTGAACACCGGTGGCTGTAGAGTGCGAATACACTATTTGGACATGACCCAGACCCGACATGTGTGGAGCATGTTAGGCATACTGGGCATCGCCTCTACCTCTTCTTCTTGATCTCGTATCTGGCAAAAGACAACTTCAAAGTTGAAACAAACTTAGCTCGACCTGATTAGAGTTCAGGTCCTTTAAAAGAGAGGGTATAATCTAGGCTCCATTCTAGAGTCAACACATAAAACTCAACATACATTATCTGAACTTTCATAAGTTACTTACCTCAGAGTTGGCGCGGCACGACGAAGGTGAGTGGTCAAACCTTTCAAATATCTTTTGAAAATTTTCAGAAAATTTCTAACTTTGGAAATTTGCATTTCTAAAAAACCATAGACCCTCTCTGATACCACACTATAACGCCTGCTGTTTTTTTTTTAAAAAAAAATACTAAGTTTATAGAAAAATAAAAGTAAAAATTTGAAAACATTTTTCTCTTTAAAAATCTCTTTCGGGGATTACTCAAAATTTTCTTTCTTTCCTTTTAAATTTACCTTAAGTCATCCTTTAAGCTCTTAGATAACTCATTTTTCCAAACCATTACTTTTCAAAACTCAAGACATAGTAAAAACCTTCATTCATAAAAAGGTTTCAGAGCCTTAAGCATAGTTTCAACACATTGTCACAACATAGTCTCGTCATCCAAAGATTTAATAACAATCATCAATTTTGAAAGTGTTTGCGGAAGCAAGTAAGACACATAACATAAATAAGACCACCCTTGTTTTCTGTCACCGCTGCCAACTTCTCAACCCAAGAAGTTAAAAATAGTGGGGTGAGCAAACAACAAGCTCACCGTGGGAATTAATATGCAATTACTAAGTATAATAATAACAAATAATATAATCGCAGCATGAACACAAATAATAACCATCACAGTACATCTATCTCCATCCAATTCATCTGTCGAACACATTGGTCTCTCCCTTATATATTCACGACAGACAGTCATCTCATGAGTACACGTCTTAAACCGTAGAGTGTCGCCCCACACTCATCGACAAAAGCACAACTGAATGCCTTTCATTAGGCATTTCTTTTTATTAGGCATATGGAGATTTACAACCTCTCATTTGACATATGGTTCACATATATACGTTAATTATCGAATTATGCGATTATAATGAATAAAGACATAGTAAATTAGGGACACCCACATTAGTTCGAAAAATGACAAAATATGTAGACGCTTCACAATAGGTTCGAGGGCTTGACTTCTCGAACATCTACATTTAAAGCAAGGTAATTTTTATAAATAAATTATCTCATTTTCTTGAAAAATGTTGACTTTCAACTTAATTAAAATTAAGGATATTTATAATTAGTAGAATTCGAGATCAAAAGGTGAAAAGGCTAGAAAAAAGGTTCACGAAGCTAAAAATATGGTTTGGTACAAAAAACAGTTCAAACGGCTCGAAAATGGCTCGCGACTCGAGGTAAGCTTGCGAACCCCGCGGGCTGATGCTGGCTTGGGTCTGACCACACAGGCGCGCTATCCGCTTCTGGCACTGGGCGCGTAGACGGACCTACAGGTGCACGACCGCTGCCAGAGCGCTGGGCGCAGGCACACGGAAAAGTGGCGAAAACCCAAGGCCGAGCTCTTGCCGCCTCACCCAAAGAATAGACCGCCGCCACGTTTGACATGTCTCTGGAAGCCGGTCGTATGGCTCGCTGATGGTTGTCGTCGTGGTGGCCCGAAGGCCCTGATGTGAGAAGGCAAGGGAATCGGCCGATTAGGTTTTCTTTTTTTTTTTTTTTTCGAAAGAGGGGAAAATGGGGTCAATGGTTACAAACTCATGCATTGATTGTGCTAAAATTAATAGGTAAGAAAAAATTTCTTTCCATAAGAAAGTGGGGCAAAATTGTGGAACCAAAATTTCACCTTGCACCACATGCGACATATATATATATATATATATCCACGCACACTTTTTTTTGTACATAAACCAAAAAAAAAAGCGTAAACAAAACCCTCCATTCTTCCACGGACGCATGCCATGCTAATTGCTAACATGCTCCTCCACAGTTGCAATCAACCAGAAAAATAAAAATAAAAAAAGTTAAAAAAAAAAAAAAAATAGTTAAATTCATCTTCCACTTGTGCCATTTTTTTATTTTTATTTTTTAAAAGGTAAAAGACCAAACTCCTTTTTCCATTTCCTCCCATCACTCGGATAATTAATCAAACACTTGGCGTGCACCAATCCCCGTGTCAGTAAATGGGCATCAATGGCCGTCGCCGCCGGTTCCCCCTCCTGACCGTGGTTCTCCTGGCCATATACGCCGCCGCCGCCGAGGCGGATCCTAACGACGAGGCTTGCCTCACCCACCTCAGCCAGTCCCTGGACGACCCCTTCAACAACCTCCTCAACTGGAGCAAGACCACCTTCGCCAGCCCCTGCCAGGGCTTCACCTCCTTCCTCCAGGGCGCCACCTGCAACAACGGCCGCATCTACAAGCTCTCCCTCTCCAGCCTCTCCCTCCGCGGCTCCATCTCCCCCTTCATCTCCAATTGTACCAACCTCCAGGCCCTCGACCTCTCCTCCAACCAGCTCAGCGGCACAATCCCGGCCGATTTGCAGTACCTCGTCAACCTCGCCGTCCTCAATTTATCAGCCAACGACATCTCCGGCCCGATCCCCGACCAGCTGGCCCTCTGCGCCTACCTGAATGTCATCGATCTCCACGACAACAGGCTCTCGGGCCCGATCCCGCAGCAGCTCGGGCTTCTGGTCAGGCTCTCCGTCTTTGACGTTTCCGGAAATAGGCTCTCCGGCGCGATTCCGGCCTCTCTGGGAAACCGGACCGGAAACCTACCCCGGTTCAATGCGAGCTCGTTCGGTGGGAATAAGGGTCTGTACGGGTACCCCCTGCCGCCGATGAAGAATAGAGGGCTTTCGGTCATGGCGATTGTAGGGATTGGGCTGGGCAGCGGACTTATTAGCTTGGTACTCAGTTTCACGGCGGTGTGCGTGTGGCTGAGATTCAGCGAGAAGAAATCGGAAAATGAGGAGGGCAAAATTGGCGGGTTCATGCCGGATTACTGAGATTGTTGCCGGATTTTTGTTCCGGTTTGGATTTTTGCGGCGGAAGGATCGAAATCTGGACAAGATTTATTTTTGCAGGTATGTTCATTCTTGGAGCTTGGTACCCAGTGGTTTGTTTTCTTTTTTCTTTTTCTCACTTTTTTTTTTTATTTATTCACCTTTTAAATTTTAATCTATCTATTTATTGGAATTTTTAGTGATGCTAGTTGTACTTGTTTTCCTATTTTCCCTTTCAAATATGTACAGAATTTGAACGCTGTAATCACAACGTTTGACTGTTATGTTACTCTTTTCATAAGTGCTCGTCACTTTGTTAAAACATTGGGAAATGCTACCTCTCGTTACCGTACCATCACATCGGGTGTTTTTAACCATTGAATATATATGTAGTTATTAGTATAAAATAGATGATTTAACGGTTAAAACACTCGACGAGATGATACCGTAACAGGACCATAACATTTCCCGAAAAACATTGTATTTTAAAAATTAATATAAATAAATATATGACATATATATAGTGAATTGATCCCATGAAAATTAGGTGATTTTGTATCAATCCTTTTTTCTTTTACTATTTTGCCCTTTAGTTGGAATTCCTTACTTTGTACAGCACTTGCACGTGATCTACTATGTATGCATTGGTAGTGAAACAAATATAAGTCGCAAATGAGAATAATAATAGTGTTGGAGGCGACTTTCGGGAGTCTTGAAATCGTTTTTCCTCGGAAAAAGTTGACCCATATAACATAATTTAAGGTGGGAATGCACTCAAGCTGGTGTACGCGGCAATAATGACCGTCCATTTATATATAGTGCCCGTTTTTTATTTATTAGTAAGTTCTATTTTATTGTCTTTTTAATTAATTAATGGAGAGAATCACACAAAATCCACTTGTTAATGTTATCTTGTTTCATTTTTTTCTCTAAAGTATAGGCTATTTCTCATGCCTATCTGCAGGGTGAACATGGTGTGGTTTGGTCAAAAATTGAACCGCATCGCAAAAAAACCGAAAACCGAATTTTTGGAATTTCTTGACCACACCGCACCGCAAGAGCAGGAAAAATCGAACCAAACCAAACCGAAATTTTTGGTTCGGTGAGGTGCGGTTTTTCGATTAACCGAAATAAAAAAAGGAATAATACAAATTAATATTTGGGTCAAAATCTTTTTCACCCCATTATATATCTATTCTTTCTTTTTCACACC